GATTCCATTCAAATATCCCAAACGGAGTGATAAAAGCCGAGATCAGACGAGCGCGATCCGTCATTTGCACTACCCAAAATCCGCTTCCTCCAAAGAACAGTACCAAAGTGTCGACTCCAGATCTTCGAGTAGATCGTTGATCAAGGGCATTGGGTATACCATCAGTTGTGTTAGGCTATTAACCAACCGGTAATCAATGCATAACCTGATATCCACTCCATTCTTCTTAATGATCACCACGATTGGGGAAGCCCATGGTGATCTGGAGTAGTTGATCATCTTGGCAGATAATAGACCCTTGATCAAGTCTGCCAGCTTCTCCCTGAACGGGATCCGCAACTTACGACATTTCAGAGCGATAGGCTTCGCTCCCCCGACATCGATATCACACACGACTCCTCTGGCGGCCGACAGAAGGGCATTTCCTTTGCCGATCAAGAGGTGTCGGAACTTCGAGATCCTTTGGCGAAGTCGATCAATCTCTTCTGGGGCCTGATTATCAGATCCACATAGCTGAATGTCCTCGATCTTCACATCTGCCGTCGTCACAGGCACTTCTGGCAGTACCGCCATCTGACCGTCGACATCTTCCGCGTGCAGATCACTTCCTTCATGGTAGTATACTCATTCATCATAATCTTGATCTGAGCTCCAGGTGAGATCCAGATCCGATGCGTCTGGTTGATCTTCAATAAGCAGGCGGTGGATCCATGTCCGTTTTTTGCGACATACTTGCCGTTCAACGGATCACTGACCACATGTCCCGTCCTAGATTGTACACTCATCATTGATGGCGGATCTGACCCACCGTATTTTGACGGTGATGTTCCTTGATCCTGACCTCTCAAATGTAGTTGATCCTGACTGGCGACCTCAATTCCCTCTCGGGCTTCTTCTTTTCGCGTTTCCACTACGCTTGTAGTTTCCTCCAACGATGGTTAGTCGCCCACACGTCTGACGTCACTTGATCGAATCTTCTAGCGCCTCCTTGACCGTTACATCATGTGATACAGAATCTCTGTCTGCTATAGACGACAGATCCGACTCATCACTTGCGACAGACGCTAGATCTAACGGTCGAATCTCCGACGGCGATTTGTCCGACGGCGACTTATCCGACGGCGACTTGTCCGAAGGTAGGCAGTTAGAAATATCTTGATCCTGACTCGCCTCGGCCTTCTGACACTGGATCAGCGTCGCCTTCGGTCTCTGGAGTATTGCGCGCGGAGTTTCGTACTCGGGCCGCTCCACCGCAGGCACCAGCGGGATCTTGACCTCCGTTTCTTCGGATCGAACGTCTGTCCTAGCTTCCAACGCTAGATTCTGCCATTCCATATAACGACGAGATCCGATCGAGATAAAACCCGGTATCCGTGGCATATGGTCTCCGGCTCGCCAGATCCCGATCCGTTGGTCTTGATGCAGGATCAACACCTCGTCCCCAATGTTGGTGATCGATATATACTTCGTTCTACCTGGTCCATCGGACATTGTCGGTACCCATCGCTCCACACGTGTGACTCACAACTTGTCGTGGATCGACGATCTCAGGCGCAATGGCAGTTCCACCGACTCTCCTGCTTGGATCCGAAGGTATTGGCCGACGTTGACGCTCTTTGCCTTGTCGCTATAAAGCTGCTGTCTCCCGCTAAGCTGGATCCGGACTTCATCTGGCAAACAGATCGACCCATGAGCTAGATCCAGGCGGATCCCGGCTGGAACCATGAAGTCCATACCAAGTATAGCTTGTTGGCCAGTCAGATCACCAACCCAGATATCGAAGAAATATACCAGTGATCCAGCGAGAGTTACCTTGATCCGGGTTCTTCCTTCCGTCCGGTACACGTTGTCACCAATTCCCACACAGTCCTGGATCTGACTCGAGTCGATATAGCACCCAACCTTACGAGCAAAGGCGGGGTCCACGATGGACACCTCGGCACAGGTATCTAAGATTAAGATCGCCTTCTCATTGTGGATCTTGCCTGTGATCTTCGCTTGACGAACTATTTACCTGGAGAATGATGCTTCCAGTAACCCCGGGACTCTCCCGGAAGTAGATCCATAGTCGTTGACCGTCGGTACTCCGAGATCTTGCTAGGCCTCTGGATCTCCGGAGTAACCTCATGATCTGTGGGTTTAAACCATAAATCCGGATCCTGCTGTCTCCAATAACCACGTGACTCCCCTGGTTGGAGATCCACACTCATGGTGACTTCGGATCTGGCATACTCGTCGACTTGGCGAAGACTTGAAATTGCGAAGGTGCGTTTCCCATGCAGATCACATGTATTACCATGTAGATCTGGTCGTTTACTAACCTGATCTACCGATGTCTTGTTCACAAATGCATAGATGTAGTATCTAGAACGCTTGGTTCGTATCGGATTCCACCCCGACAAGCGTCCCAGATTAACATCTTCTCAGCAGCTTCGGGTAACATACCCATGTGCTTCGTGGGGTTAAACCACTGACGGATCTGGTTATAGAACTCTTCCATTGGACATTTTCCCATGTCATGCAGTTCTCTACATCCACGACACACGAAGAGGCAGTGATCCGAGGGGTGTCCTCTCTTGCCACACTTCGTGCATGTAACACGCCTCCAGCAGCCAAGATCTGAGTGCTTTCTGGATCCACAGTGCGAGTACCGATCACGGTTAAAACCGTTTACCGTGGATCTTCGAGTTGTGATCTTGATGGCTATGATCACGGTCCGGAAGTCGTGGATCCAGGTTCGCTGACTCTTTCTCCACTTTCGGGGTGACATCTTCATTCGCTGCCAGGAAAATCCTGCGATGACTGTCGACGTCAGAGTCAGCTCCGCCCGATCCGTCAGACTCACTGCCGGATCCAGAGTCGTTAGCTTGGATCTGGATTGCGCGCACTTGTTTTGCTGGAGCTGAAGGGGCGGTGTTGGTTGGCTTCTACCGGTACTTGCTGGATCCAAACGCGGCCTTCTTTTGATGGTTCTTTGCGCGAT